CAAGATGGCGGCTCACCGCCGTCCGCTTCGCACCACGCTCGCGTTGCCGGGGCCACGGCAGGGCCGCGGAGCGTCGCGGCAGCAGTGGCGGAGGCAGCAGGCGGGCACGGAAGCCACCCGGCCGGACGAGCGCGTGCGGTGACATGCGCGCGTGTGGTGACATGTGCGCATAAGGCGATCTGCCCCTGAGGCCGTCCGTACGGCAAGATGGCCGCGCCGATTAGCGCGAGCTGGCCGCGCCCCCGGCGTTCCGGGTACTCTGAGGAACGGCGCCGCGCCCCGTGGCCGGGTCCTATCCGTGTCTCGCGAGCCACAGTCCCCTGCCCCCTCGCTCCTGGGCCTGGTCCTAGCCGCTGCGCTGCCGTACGCCGAGATGGCGGCCCCCGCGCCTCTGCCGCTCCCTGCTTGGCCCCCGTGGCTTCCCGTCGCCGCGTCGCGCTGCGCCCGTCGGAGCGACGCCGCGGCCAGTCGGCGGCCGGACGGGGAAGATGGACGCAGGTGAGGAGGGTGGGTGCCTGGCCTCGGTTGGCGGCGTTTCCTATCAGTCCACGGCTCGCTCGGGGTCCTCGGGACGAGACAGCGCTCGTGGGCGCGCGGACGGGCGGGCGGCTGGACCGGCTACCCCTGTTGTTCCCCACCCCATGCGCTGACGCCAGTCGCCGGTGCGGCCGGCGCTCCTTGGCCCGTGGGCAGCGCCCAGGCTGGGAGCGCGCAGGAGGGCGGCGGGCGAGGAGGCCCGGGCCGTTTCGGCCCGGCGGAGCGAGCCTGCTCTGCGAGGACGCGGAGCTCAACCTCAATGAAGTTACCGGCGGAGCTCTGGGATTCGCGACATGCACATCTTTTATTTTTGACTTTGATGTCCAGAAGGTGACCCAAACCAAAATGCGCCGAAAAGGCAGTGAGTCTCTCCCACCCTAGCTTAATTTCCCGAGTTCTTAAAACTGTGTTGCGGGGGCAGCTTGTGGTCGCGGAGTTGTTCTTCATTTTTGCTGGCAGTATACTTTGGAGACAACTCTGTGCCCAAAGCATCGTTTACTCATAGCCCTAAGAACATTTGTACACGGACTCGCTTGTTTATTCTTCAGCGGCTATTGTTCATTTCTGGTAGGCACTGCTTTGCCTTCCTAAAAGTGTCTCCTTATGTGTAAAAAACGATTTCGATCTGGGTTAATTCTGCTTGTCATTTTGAATGGTATCGCCTTTGGTTTGTTTTTCTTCTACTGGCGGTAGAAAGTTACAAAGATCTTTGCAGTACAAAGTTACTAAGATTTTGCTTAGGACTAGGTATAGTTAGCCTTTAGTGATTTCTAGATCTCCTCACTTCCATGTGTTACATGGCTGGAAGAAGCAGGAACGCTGACTACCCTGGGACATTGTATATTTTGTAAAGTTTTAGAATGAATATCAAACACTGTGGTGCTGTTTGCTTGGCGGGGTGAGGAAGGAATAGAATTATTTGCTTATCCACTTTCTTTTTAGGTATTATTGTTGGATACCTAAGGCTGTTCATATGAAGAATACGGTTAAAGTGGAAAACAGTTTAACGTTGATCAGATTACCTTAAATGTGAAAGTCATCATATTAAAGAATACAATTTTATAGTCACATAATGATACCTTAATAGTACACAGAATTCTGGTACTTGGAAAAATCAAAATAGAAAGGTGTTCGCTTTTGAAGACCTCTGTTGCTGGTAAAACCAAACATGATGTTTTTTAGGGTATGATAGGGCAGTTTTCCTTCTAACATTCCGCTGAACAACCTTTTAGGGAAGGTAAATCGTCTGCCCTCCACTAATCCTTGGAGTCCTTGAAGATTCTGCCATTCTTAACTATGTGTAATATAGTTCTTGGTTGTTATTATAGTTCATTCCATAGGCTACATTTTTTTATTGAGTGCCAGGTGTGTGCGGTGTGTTGTTTTAGATTCTGGGTCAAGAGAAGTGAATAAAAGAGAACCACTGTCTGGAGACAGCTAACGTTCTGGAGGGGAGACCCTGGGTAGGCAAGCACTGTGTGGGGCTTGTGTAGGAGAGCAGTGGGGGGCATGCAGAAGGGGATTGAAATTGTAACCAGGACACCCAAGAGAGGTATCACTTTGAAGGTTACGTTCTTACCAACACCTACAAGTGTGGCAGGAGAAGGGACAAGTGAGCTGAACTGGGAGCACCAAGGAGGTCAGTCTGTCTAGGAGCAGGACAAGAGAAGCAGGAGCTGAGGGCAGAGAGGTAACTTAGGCCTGTTTGTGAGGCCTTCCTAGGTCACAGTGAACACTCGAACATTTATTCTGAATAGGATGGTGACCCTTTGGGAGGTTTTGAGAGCAGTAACATGATCAGACTGATGTTTAACAGACCTGCTGTGGCTCTCTTTTGAGAACGTACTGTAGAGGGACAAGGACAGAAGCAAGGAGACCAGTTAATAAGCCTCGCAAAGAGATGCTGGAGACTTAGTTCATGATGGGGAGAAGAGGTTGGATTCTGATGTGTTGTGAAGGTTGAGACAGGCATTGTTTATGGATAGAAAGCTGGGAGGAGGGTAGCACGGAGGGAGGAGTGACCAATGGCATCAGGGTTTATTGGCTGAGTTAGGACCAGCAGGGAGCTCAGGCATGGTGGGCATTGTTTGAACTCCTTGTGGAATGTGGATGCCTAGATGTCTGTGTAGCTGTGTCCAGGAGGGCGTTAGGCCACAGGCTTGCAGCTCAGGGAATAGGCTTGGCTGAAGATGTGCAGGAAGCCACATTGGATGAGGTTTTCCCAGATCTGAGTGTGAGTAGATAAGAGGAGGCCAGGCAGAGAGCCCAGGCTGCTGGCATGAGGAGGTCCGGAAAGTGGCAGGCAGGCACAGTTTGGTTGTGTTCTACACCAGTCCCCTAGCACTGTCTGTAAAAACATGCTTCTGGTTCAAAGAGCTCTCAGGTACTGGTATGTAAATATCCACCCTGTTCATTCACTGGCGACAGCACCAGTGTTCTGTGTAGGGCACATTGTATCTGGCAAATGGTTGGTAGTCAGTGGAGCAGAACTTGAATTAATAATTTACACATTCCCCTGCTACAGGTTCAGCGTCCCTAACCCAGAACCCAAAAACGTTGAGTATCAGCATGATGCCACAAGTGGAGAAATTCCGCACTTGACCTCATGAGACGGGTTGTGGTCAAAATACACTTGTCTTTTTTACTAGTAGTATTTTTTTTTTTTTTTTTTTGGTTTTTCTCCGGTACCGGGAACCGAACTCACGACCTCGCGCTTGCCAGGGAGGCGCTTTTGCCGCTGAGCTAAATCCCCAGCCCCTTTTACTAGTAGTATTATACAAATATTTTAGGCTGTGTGTCCAAGGTGTATATAAAGTATAAATGAATTTCATGTTTTGGTTTGGGTCTCATGCACAAGGTATCTCATTGTGTATATGAAAATACTCTAAAATCTGAAAAATCCAAAAGAAGAAACACTTTTGGTCTCTAGCATTTTGACTAAAAGGATACCCAGCCTGTATGAGAATTTTAGTTTGTAGGATTGTGCATAGTTAAGTCTGGCCTAGTAGCATATGATGTCCGTGACTGAGAAAGTCTGCTTGCTGCAGAGTGGTGGGTTTTAATGTGGACATTCCATCCAGTGTGTTCACTCTAGCACTGTTTTTAAAGTTTTTACTTTCTTTTTCTTCTCCTTCTATGTGCAAGTTGCTATCTTAAGCTTAGTTTTCTCAAGGAAGGGGAGACCCTATCTGCTGAATTGATTTATATCCTTGAGGAGAATCTTTCAAAATGGATGCATCACAGTAAGAAGAAATCTATTGACTGGACATTTTTTGTAGTTCTCCCTGCTTGAATAATAGTGTGGTTAGTATTGAGTGGAGAGAAGTTAGTTGAATTCATTGAGGACAATTCTCTGTTTGTCTCTCTACCAGATTAATGATATTAAATCACATTGCTGTTTTTCCTGTTAGAATTAACCATGTTAGCGGACATTTTCTGCTTCTTCTTCCAGTTGTGATGACAGAAGTTCCAAAAAGAGGGTGTAAAAAATCAAGCCCCTTGGGTGCAGTTGACCGCATAGGGACTTCTTTGGAGGTGTTGTCCGTTCTAGAGGTGCCTCACCTGCTGTCATACTTCTCTTGCATGTCATGTAATATCATGTTATCATCCTTGTCTAGGAGTCAGGAGACTGGCATTCTCCTCAAGGCTTGTCTCTATCTCAGGAGCCACGTGTATTGCTTCATAAGTGACAGGAGGTGGCATGTAAAGATAATGAGGTTATGATGAAGGCTGTGAAATGGGACTAGGGAACCTCTGGAGAATTGCAGAGGCTGTTGACTGCAGTCTGAGAGGAACCGAGAGAGTAATGTCCTCGAGCTGGTCAGTCTCTGTAAACACCAGTGGCTGTGAGCTTTAGTTTTGTAGCTGGCCAGAGCTGCTGGTATTGCCCCATTTCATGGGCAAAGAGAGTGAGGCTAGAGAAGCTGAGACTAGCAAGTAGGCTGTCTGTCTTCATATGAAAGCTTAATAGAAATCAGAAGTTAGGTGTTATTTTGAAAATTATCTCCTTTCTACTTTTAAAGTAAGACCCAGAAGGTCAAGGAGCTCAATAGCTTGGCCCACAGCCTCAGCCTGTGTTATCTGGGAGAAGTCTCATCCGTGGCACCTCACAGTATCTTCCTCTTCAACAGGACCTGTGAGTGTGCCCTGTAAGGTGGGCCATGTGCATTGCCTTCTGTCCTCCAGTTCAGGTGGGGTTCTTGTGGGCACAAAACAGTGAGAAATCCTGTTTGCTCTTGCAGTGGGAATCACTGCAGGCCCACAGATCCTTGTTGCTGACTGTCTGGGGTGTGAGCTCAAGGACATCTGAGCCCACCTGAGCAGTGACATGGCTGGCTTCTCTCTAAATGGAGTCACAGCTCTTTTTTCAGGAAAGTGTATTACATTGGGTTTGGTTTTGATAAAGAAACTCACATGTCTGGTTTGGTTTGTTTGTATTGCCCTGGGCATTGCCCCTCACACATATCACACATATTATAGTGTGTTGTGAGTATAATGTGGTGGTATAGCACCCATTTCAGAAGGAATTCACGAAGGCTGGCCGTGAAAGTGTCTTTGCTCCCTGTATGGTTTAGAGCTCTTTCCATTTCACCAGTGAGAAAACTGAGCATATAAAGATTACCAGTTTAGGAGGATTGCATGCCTGGTTGCTGATGGCCTTAGACCCCAGGCTGCAAACTAGGCCCTGGACCACCACTCCACTCTGTTTGAAATGGTTTTTCATCCTCCAGGGTGCAGAGAGGTACAGGTCTGAAGAGGGTACAGTGTGGTGGTTGGAGTAAGGGAGAAGGGGGGGAGGGAGGGAGAAAGGGAAAGGGAGAGAGGGAGAGGGAAGGAGAAAGAGGGAGAGGGAGGGAGAGAGAAGAAGGGGGAGGGAGGGAAAGAGAAGGAGAGAGGGAGGGAGCGAGAGAGAAGGAGAGGGAGGGAGGAAGAGAGAGAAGGAGAGGGAGGGAGAGGGAAGGAGAGAGGGAAGGAGGGAGAGGGAGGGAGAGAGAACGAGAGGGAGGGAGGGAGAGAGAAGGAGAGAAGGAAGGAGAGAGAGAGAAGGAAAGAGAGAGGGAGGGAGGGGAAAGAGCGGGGAGAGACACATCCTCTCTATGTCTTAGAGGATGGATGGATGGGTACTGTTTCTTTGAGCTGTGATTGCGTCTGGGTAGTGTGGTTCTGTTGTGTTTCTTCATCCCCAAGCTGGCTATTAATTCAAGAAGCCTGTAATTTTCAAAATTAAACTAAGAGATTCTGTGATCTATTTGAGATTAATAAGGTACTTCTTACTACCTTCACTCTGAAGTCGGCTCCCTCGCCTATAAAGTTTGCTAATAACCTTAAGAAATGTGCATGCTCTGCACCATGCTGCTTCGAGGTTAAGGATTCTCACCTTCAGAGGATCCCAGAGATTGTGACCCTGCTTTCAGAGTGAGCTATTCTCTTCTTCCTTATGTGTACGTGTCCTTCCTTTATTATTTATGTATTTCATATGGGAAGCTGGTTATCATAGTTTCTCAGTTTCCTGGTTTTGGTAAGTTCCTTTCCCTGATGGTATGTGCCACGTCCTGTGTCATGGTCTCAGAGGTGTCGTCCAGAGCACTCCTGGCCACCTAGTGCTTTAGCAGATAAAGTAGCTTCATTTAAAGCTGGTGTCATGGAAGGGGCTCAGACACAAGGAGAGTGTTTCAGCAAGATTGGACTTGCTGTCTTGTAGTGCTGTAAGTTAGAATTTTACAGGATTTTTGCCTCCTTTTCCCATGAGAGTAACTTTCTGGGTTTGAGTCTACATATTAGATAAAGTCTAATTGAGTGTACCGAGCCAATAAAGTACAGCAGTGATTTTTAAAGACATGAGGTAGTTTAAAACAGTAGGGTTGTCACAGTGTCTTTCAGCTTCTTCAAAAGATAGGCATGAGCTTTAATTCATCCTTACTTAGTTTTGTTTTGTCTTGTTTTACAGTGACTAAGGATTAAGCCCAGGGCCTTGTACTTCCTAGGCAAAGATTCTATTACCTAGCCACAACTCTAGTTCCCCCAATTTAGTTTTAGTTTTGATAATCATATGCAAGGAACAGTCTTCTCTAAAAAATAGAAGTAAACTTGTACTTTATTTATGATCTCCAAGTAGCCCAGAGGACACTGTTTCTGAATGCAGGCTGGTAAAAACATGCAATAATGAAGCTCCTGGACAGAACCCTCTGGGCCTAGTCTGTGTCCCTCAGGGCCCACTGTGGGGCTTGGGAAGCCTTGGCAGTGCTTCAGGCAAGGCAGCGATAGGCCAGGTGCCCCCAGGAGTTGCTGGGGTACGCTTTCCAGTATTTCTCAGCCTGTGACTGGAATCTAGCTTTCTCCACGTAAGCCTGCTGGGTGTAGTCCCTTGTGGGTCTGCATCCTTGATATAAATGACAGGAGCTGACATTGGTGCCTCTTTGTCTGCGGCTGGGACCTCATAGGAAGTCTTTCAGGGAAGCTTCTCAGGCATGTAGTGAAGCTGTCTTGTCATTATCCCATTTTATGGATGAGGAATTGTCACACTTAGAAGTTAAGTAAATTGCCGGGCGTGGTGGTGCACGCCTGTAATCCTAGCACTCGGGAGGCTGAGGCAGGAGGATTGTTGCGAGTTCGAGACCAGCCTGAGCTACAAAGTGAGTTCAAGGCCAGCCTGAACTGCACGAGACCCTGTCTCAAAAAAAAAAAAAAAGACCGGAAAAAAAAAAAAAAGAAAAAAGAAAAGAAGTTAAGTAAATGGCCCAGGGACCTGTAACCAGGATTTAAACCCCAGCCATCAATGACAAGAGGTGGCACCCTGCTCTCTGCCTTTCTTGGGGGGCTGCACATCAGCTATGCCTTGTAGTCCACAGCAGGGGTACTTAGCAGCACTCCAGTAGGGTGCTTAAGTTAGCCACAGTATCAGTTTATTCAAGGCCAATACAAATTGGTTGGAAAGCTGCGTTTTTGTGCAGAACAAGGGGAAGGATGAGCTTTTTTGTTGTTGTTCTGTTTGAGACAGGGTCTCACTATGTAGTCCAGACTGGCCTCCAACTCACTATGATCCTCCTGGATGCTGGGATTGTGGGTGTAAATCACAACGCCCAGCATATAGTAGTTTTTAAATTTTATTTTGAGACAGGATCTTGCTGAATTACCCAGGCTGGTCTCAAACTTGTGACCCTCCTGCCTCAGTCTCCCCAGTAGGTGGGATTATGGACATGTGCCACCTTGCCCAGTTTCCTAGGTTCTTAGTTGAAATTGAATAGGTGTGGCACTCAGGGCTCATTGGCATAATAGGTGGATGACATAGCTCTGTGGCCAGCTCCTTCCTTAGACTATGGGGTATTGCTTTGTGGAGACTGGTAGTGACGGTGCCTTTCACTAGCAGTGTCAAAGTGAAAACTTGGTCCAGACTTTGTCTCTAGGGCTTCTGGCACCCAGCTCCATTGGGGATGTTACAACAGTGTTTGTCCCTCAGTGTCTCATTGGAGTAGCTCTCTTTTCCTCTATGGTTAACTGCTCCTAACCAAGAAAAGAGGGTGGACTAGAATCTTTGTTTTCAGGAGCTCAGTGGCTCTCATGGTTGTCACAGCACCCTTGAATATGCTGCCATGGTGACATTTGGTAGACCGTAGAATGCTATGTACATCTGTGGTTCCTGGGTCTACAACAACAGTGTGGCTTCATTTGACTTTCGTCCCTTAGGATTTAAATGTTCTAGACCTAAAACATTTGAATTCATGAATTGGGTAACCTCTTCCTTCTTCCCCTCAGTGGTCAGCTCTCCTCTGTACCATCCTAGGTACCCACAGGGACTTTATCGCTATGGGGACATGGGTGCGCACTCCCTAGGAAGAGCCTACTCCTGCACTCTCCTCTAGTGCAAAAATGCAAAGGTTGAGTGCTCTGGTATTGTTCTGTGTGATTATAAAAGTCGATAGACATCTGTCTTTTGTTTCCACAGCCACTCTTACCTATGACACGCTCCGGTTTGCTGAGTTTGAGGATTTTCCTGAGACTTCTGAGCCTGTTTGGATCCTGGGCAGAAAATATAGCATCTTCACAGGTATTGGCCATATTGGAGCTGCTCTGCTCTGCCTGCTATCTGCTAACTCTCCTGTGGTATCTAGCTTATAAACTGAAGGCTCTGTGTCTTCCTCTTTTGAACAACCCTAGAGAAGGATGAGATCTTATCCGATGTGGCGTCCAGACTGTGGTTTACATACAGGAGAAACTTCCCAGCCATTGGTGAGTACTCGACTGTACGGCAGCAAGGAGGGAGGCTTCCAAGTGGCAGACCTTTGTTCCCCTCCCCTCATAAATTGACCAGGGTCTCCCTCCCAGCAGTGGCTCAGCTGGTGGACTCACACCCAGGCAGTTCATCCCAGCAGGAGAATGCATTTTCTTCTATAAGTCATTGCTCCATCAGAGTCATGGCTATGTTTTATGGAGTTTGCAGTTTATTTTTGTTTGTTTGTTATTACTGGTGCTGGGGATAAAACTGAGCACCCTGTGCACACTAGGCAAAGGGCTGTACCACTGTGCTATGTCCCCATTCTCCGTAACAACTTTAAACGTATACAAAAGAGTGAAATAGGAAACAATGTTGGCCATAGTGAGGCAGCACCCTACTCAGGAGCCTTCAGGCAGCTTGTATATTTGAATGTGTGCCTCATGTCTGACTGCACACTGGTTTCATACAGGTCTGGGATATCTGGAAGCCTTGCTCTTCCTCTGTCTTTTCTAGCATGTGTATACTTGGCTGTGGGGAGACAAGGACAAGGTGAATTGACATTTTTTATGTAAGCTGATTCTTGCTGTGTGCCCTGAAGGTAGATGAAAGTTGGGGACCAGCTTTCAGCCTTGCCTGTGTAGTCTAATCTTAGGGACTGGGCTGACATTGTGCCACCCCATGGCCAGGTCATGAATTGGTGCCTCCTTTGGATAGCATTTCATCCTTTTCCCACAGCAAGCTGGAAGTGAAGTAGACACGGCAGCCTGGCATTCAGGGAAGCAAGACCCACAACTAGTGTCTGGTGATGTGATTTGTCAGGTGTGGTTCTACAGATGCACAGCTCACCCTTCTCTTGGCCTGATCTCTGTGTGGCCCTGGTGCTGACCTTTAGGCTCTGGGCAGGGAACCATGGCCTGAGAGAAACCTTTTACTATTTGGCCCGCTGTGGAAGAGAAGAGGTTGGGGATGAACCACTGTGGGTAGAGCTCCTTTTGCAGGCCTGCAGCTGAACATGCCTATGCCCTGCGGGGATGTTTTGTCCAAGAAATGGTGTGGGGAGGGCTGGGCTGCTGCCTGGGCTGTGGATGTACACAGCTCCCCTGGTCTGGGGGCAGGGCTTCAGGTCCTGACATGTGCAGAAGGGGCTGTGGTCCCCCTGCTCTGACTGTTGTCTCAGCCACTGCCTTCGCTTTTCCTCCTGGCATGCTATTCCATTGGTTTCCTGTCATGGCCATGGGATGTTTCCTATAGTTCCACAGTGCTTGTCTTCCATCTCCCTGGGCCTGGTAATGGACATGAAATGGCAGGGCCTGGGCACATGTGCCTGAAGGGCAGAAGTAATTCCTGACCACTGTTGCCCAGCCACTGCCCAAATCAGGGACACTACTGTCCTTTGAATCTTGACCTATCTAGTAGCTGGGAAACGGTCCTTGTTGAACATGGTGGTTCTGGATTGGCCATGGGGTACTGTCTGTTCCTATGTTTTCAGACAGTCCTGTTGCCCTGTGGGTGACTTGTCCCATACCCTTGCACTTCTTAAGGGTTTGTGAGTCAGCAGACATGGCCCTTGCATTTCTAAGTCCTCAAGTGTGCAAATTTTGAGACTGAGCAACATGTGAAGGGCTGGTGCCCCTGGTGTGGAACATCTGTGGGCTTCTGATGGTGACTGCCCCTTTTTCTGTCTGCTGCAACAGGGGGAACTGGCCCCACCTCTGACACAGGCTGGGGCTGCATGCTGCGGTGTGGACAGATGATCTTCGCACAGGCTCTGGTGTGCCGGCACTTAGGCCGAGGTGAGTCAGCATGCAAGTGTAGTGAGGGATGCTGGGGGCAAGGGACTGTGGTTTGAGGGATGTTTAAAGCACATTACAGGTGAGACCATAGGTTTTCATTGATTGGAAAGGCTGACTTTAAAGAATGCTGATGTTTATTTCTTTAGAAGTTGTTAAGCCACTGAAAGTATTCTCTGATGTCTGTTTGTTTTTATTTTTAGGGAGTTTTTTGTACTGGGAATTGAACTGAGGTTCTTGCACTTGCCAGGCAGGTGCTTATGCTGCTGAGCTATATCCCCAATGCCTGTCAGTTTGTTTTGATGCATTAGTATTTATGTAGTTGAAATCCTAGAATGTTTGGCTTTTATAACTTTATTTTTTTTTTATTTTTTATTTTTTTTGGTGCCGGGAATTGAACTCAGGACCTTGCACTAGGCAGGCAGGTACTTATGTTGCTGAGTTACATCCCCGGCCTGCTTTTAACTTTAGAAGGTTGACTGGGTCTGTCTTACTCTTGAGCACTGTGTAAAGCCAGACACATCTCTCTGGCCTATGGTCATACTAACCCTGTATTTGTTCCCAATAGACTGGAGGTGGGCCCAGCGGAAGAGGCAGCCTGACAGCTACTTCAGTGTCCTCAATGCGTTCCTCGACAGGAAGGACAGCTACTACTCCATCCACCAGATAGGTGGGCTGACTCCACGCAGAGGCAGCCTTGGGTCTCTGGGGCTGCTCTGGTCTGGGTGGGTGCAGCTGAGTGTCCCAAGCAGCTGCATAGCAGGCAGCCTTGAGCACTGTTTACCCCCCATGGAAGGACCAAGTGTAGAGCTGAGTGGCTAGGGCTTCCAGACATGCCCTTCCCCATCCCTCCTTTCTAAGTCTCACTCAGGCACCCCCTGGAGGGTGGGCGTCCTGTGTGGGCCTTCCTGTGAAGTGTTTTCTGCTGCCACATCACATTTAGGAGTGGGTAGGAGGAGGTGTTGGAGGCCTGGGAAGGGTGCATGTTGCTAATCTGGATCTGCTTCCTGCAGCGCAAATGGGAGTTGGCGAAGGAAAGTCCATCGGCCAGTGGTATGGCCCGAACACTGTCGCCCAGGTCCTCAAGTACGTGCTGAGCTGCGGCCTGCCTGCTCCTTTGGGTAGCCCGTTTCCCTTGGTGTTTACACTCTTAAACCCTCATTGACAAGGAGGACGGGGGCTTCAGGAAGGTCCTTAGAGGTGACATGGCTTTACCAGGTTGTGGGATTTATGTTTTCTATGAAATGAGTGTCTTACCTAGGTCGTGTTCACAGGAATAGGCCGTTGGGTCCATCTGTAGTGGTGGTTTCTGATGATCCGGAAGTGGAAGCTGATCTGGAACCGTGGCAATTCTGTTGGCTGTCTGTGACTGTGCTGTGGCCCTTCCCCTCTGGGCCTGTCAGAGGCTCCTGCCTTCCTACATGCTCCAGTGTCTGGGCTTCGTCTGCACTGGCCCTTTGTCCTGAGGGCACTGCGCCTCCCTTGCTCCAGCACCAGTCCCTCTGAAATGGCTCCTTCTGTGTTGCCAGGAACTGGCCACTTCTTGGCCCTTGCCCTTCAGAGTCCTATGGCCTGGTGCACTTCTCCCTGTGGCTGTGTGCCCAGAGCCCAAACCCTTCTGGGGGCCTCTGGGTTGGTGCTCCAGGAGGCACCACACAGGGCCTTGTTCCTGTTCCTGCTGACTGAGCTGTTTCCCGAGTCTCTCTCTGCTGTGGCTTTCCCTGAAGCCCAAGTGGGCAGCTGTGGCTCCACTCAGGTCTCATGGTGCCCACCCCTGCTGTTTGTGAAATACCTCTTGTCTCACCCCAGCCTACTCCCCTTGGAAAGTCCCTGTCTGCATCCAGCTCCTCTAACCTGCTTCCTCCTGGACTCTTCCTTCTCTCTTATATCTGACTTGCTACATCTCACTATCCCCATGACCTGGCCTGTCTGTCCCCTTCAGAGTCCTTGTCCAGGCTTGGCCTGCCTCAGCTTGCTCGTGTGGTCCACTCCTCTCCTCCTTCATGGTGCTTCCTATACTCTGAGTAGTCATGTCAGGGTTGCCATCTGTGCTTTTTTTGTGTCCAGAGCCATATGTCATCCTGTCCACCAGCGGCAGCCCTTGGCATGGGTGCTTGGACCATTTCTCAGCCATACCACTCCGTCTGTTGGCCTTGTTGCTCCTGTTGTCCTCTGGCCTCCTCTGGCTCTTGCTTGTTCCTCCTCTCTGACCTGTGGGTCTGCAGGGACAGCTCCTAAGTTACACCCTGAACAACAGCTCTCTGCGTGTGCAGCCCCTCTTGGGGGTCCTCAGGGCTCATAGCCTCCTTATCTGCTGCTTCTGCACAGGGACCACATGCAGGCCAGCATCTCTACTCGTCTGCATCTCCTCTCTCTCACCACCTGAGCTGTGTCCCATTGCTGACTGGTCTTCCTTCTCCTGCTTTCTGGCCCTATCTCCTCGTCATTCTCTTCTCTCTTTGAAGTAGTAGAGTTGTTTCTGTAAGCTTTGGCAATCATTGACAGTCTTTGGCAGTCATCTCTCTGGCTCTGAGCCATCTCAGGTTCCTGGTTGCCTGAGCTGTGCCGCACACTGATGCCCTGCTGAGGTGCATGCATCTTTACTCCCTGCAGGCTGCTGCCTCAGGTCCTTGTGTGCTCTGACTGCCAAAGCTCTTTCTCCCGACTCCCGTCCCTTCTTCAGGGTTCCTGCATGACCCTTACCACACCCCCTGTGGTCTGCTTTCCACAGGGGCCGGCCCTGGCAGGTCTTGCTTTGTCCCTTGTCTTTTGGGGTGTCCTCACCCCCATAGCTGGCTGAGGGCAGAGGAAACAGCTAGGTAGGCCACTGTCCTGTATACCTCCAGGCTTTCCAGGCACTGCTCTTTCTTTCTGTCCCCAGACACAACAGGTCCTTGCAGCTCAGGGCCTGAGCATTGTTGCTGTGCCTGGAATGGTTTCTTGCTTCTCATCTCACTGAGTAGCAGGTCCTCTGTATAGTGCATGCCCAGAAGTGGCTCAAGTTTCCATGCATGTGCTGCAGGAATGTGAACCTGCAGCCCCTGTTCCTTTGCAGGGCTCTTCCTGGGTGTCTCTGAGAGGACTCCACTCCGGGCTGCCCTCAGAGAGTGCTTGGTAGGGTACTGTGCCTCCCTCCTCACTGTGCCCCAGGACTTCGTGTGTGTGTGTGTGTGTGTGTGTGTGTGTGTGTGTGTGCGTGCGCGCGCGTGCACATGCCTGCAAGTTCTGTTCATGAAGGGCAACTGGGGAACTGGTGTGGAGGAGCAGAGCCCCTTTCAGCTCTCCTGTCTGAGCCTCACCCTCTTCCCTGGGAGGGCACTCTGTTGAGACCCACTGTGGCAAGTGTGAGGGGAAGCATCTGGGTTTGAGACACTCAGAGTGTGCTGTCCTGCCTTCCTCCTGCAGGAAGCTTGCTGTATTCGATACGTGGAGCTCCTTGGCTGTTCACATAGCGATGGACAATACTGTAGTGATGGAGGAGATCAGTAAGTTCCCAGCTTTCTGTTCGTGAGGAGGAGGATGACTTGTGGGGATACGAATTTCCCTGCTGGGCCCCAAGAGGAGCATGACCTGCAGAGTTGTGAGTTAGAGCAGAGCAGGGTACAGGGTTTGTGTGGAAACCACCTGAAGGGAGGAGCCCAGGCCATTTTGAGTGGCCAGTTACTTGGTACCTGTCAGTTTTTTGTTTCTCTCTCACAATTATGTTAGAGCTTGAAGCAGTGGTGCATGCCTCTAATCCCAGCCCCCTGGAGGCTGAGGTCAGAGGATCACTGGACTGTAGGAGTTTGAGGCTAGCACATGATGTGACCCTTTTTTTTTGGTCCTGGGAATCAAACTCATGACCTCGTGCTTGCCCGGCAGGCACTGTGCCACTGAGCTATACCCCTGACTGATGTGACCCTGTCTTAAAAAAATAACAAAATGGGTGTGGTGGTTCATGGCTGTAATCCCAGCACTCTGAGAGACTGAGGCAGAAGGATTGCAAGTTCAACCCCAGCCCAGGGAATGTAGCAACTTAGGGAGACCCTATATGGAAGAAAAAAATAAAAAAGGTCTGGGAATATAGCTCAGTGTGACAATCCCCAGTAATCAAAACAAAACCAAATAAACATGTTAAGGTATATTGCACTTAACAGCTTAACATGCTAACTCTCGCAGGGATGCTGGCTGAGTGCCTCTGTGTGTGTTCACACACCCCACTGAGATGTAGGGATGCTCTGACCCACCCCACACACTCAGCTGTCTGGGTGGCAGGCCCATAGAAGGATGTCTGGGGAGGTTACCATCTGTAAGGGCCGGCTCATCAGGCAAGCTCTGAACGCTTCTGCCCCTTCCACAGTGCGTACTGTGCTGTGTGCCTCAAAGCCTTCTCCAAGGAGCTCTCAGAGCTGCTTCAAACTAGTTTTGTTGGAGTCCTGTCATTACCTTCAACCCAGTTCTGCATAAGAAAAAGTCATTGAGCTGGGTGGAGTGGTACATACCTGCAATCCAGGCTGAGGCAGGAGGATTGCAAGCTCAAACTTAGCCTAGGCAGCTAAGTGAGACTATGTCTCAAAAAATCAAAAAAGGTCTGGGTTCAAGCCTTACTACTGCAAAAAATAAAAAAGAAAAATGAAAGACTCACAGAGAGCCATGGCCCTAGCGGTGCATAGACAGGCAGTGGAAATGGGTCTGGCCTGTATGGCTGCAGTATGCGCCACTTGTGTACCCATCAGACCACAGACATGTCATTTCACTGCCTGAGTGATAGGGCCCCTCTGTCTCGTTGTTTTTCCTTTTTTCTTTTTGCATAGTGGGAGGTTGACCTCAGGGCCTTTACATTGAGCTACATCCCCAGCCTTTTTTTATGCTTACTTTGAGACAGGTCTCACTAAGTTGTCCAGGATAGGCTCCAGATTATAAGCTCCTGACTCTGCTTCCAGAGTGCTAGGATCATAAGCATGCCATGCCTGGCCTCGGTCTTGTTTCTTCACCCCTGGGCAATGTTGTCAGCAGTGTCTCAGGCAGGAGTGGGATCTGACATGGTCATAGGCTCCCCTTTCATAGTTGATGAACTTATAACAAAGTGTTTCTTCCTTCTGCCTTTTAACCTATTCTAGTTCTTAAAACTTTTAAACAATTAAAAATACAAAGAAAGTCACTGATTTTACTACTCAGACATTTCACATTATGTTGTTGTTGTTTTGGGTACTAGGTGGAACCCTTTGTCACTCTACTACTGAACTACATCCCCAGCATATAGTTAGAATTTTTGGAACAGTTTCGATAAATTTCTGAGGCTGGTCTTGAACTTGGAAGCCTCACAAGTAGCTGGGATGACAGGAGTGCACCCCTCGCCTGGCGCTGTGTTAGCTTTGTGGCATACTTTTTCCCATTGTTTTTTAAATGCTTTTCAAAAATAATATCTAGCATTTAGGAGGCTAAGTCAGGATGACTTTGAGTTCAAGGCCACAGTCACCCTAGTAGGGAGACTGTGTTTCCAAAAAACATAGATACTTGTAACCATCTCATTAACTGGCTACACAGTGTGCTGTTGTGCCTTGATCTCTTTTTTCCCCAGCTTCTGGGAAAATCACTCGTCCTGCTCACGTCTGGCCTGCCCCTCACTTAGCCTCTGCCTTCAGAGAGGGTGGGAAGGGTGAGGGACAGGCTCCTCCCAGAGTCACTGCTCAGTGGGTGTGTGGCTTCAGCATCTGGCCCTATGGGTCCTCCTGAGCTGGGTGCAGCCAGGAGGTGAGGAGTAGAGTCAGAGAGGAGCCCCACGTCTGAGTTCCCAGCAGCTCTTGGGGCCACGGGAGGCTACCTGGCAGGACCAGGGCCAGGCAGACCTGACATGTGAGACATGGGCACAATGTCTGACCCCCGCTTTTGGGAAGAATGGCATTAGATCCGACCCATGGCTGAGGCTGGTAGAGAGACGTAGTGTGATGTGATGAGGAGGCATGGGATTGTACTAAATGGCCTTGCTGATAGCTTCAGGTTTGGAAAGGCAGGAGGACTCCAGGATAAACAAAAAGGAAGCTGCCTTTCTTTCCCTCTGCCAATCTCTGCCCAGGCTGGTGGGCAGCTACAGACAAAACTTGGATAAGCAGTGGCTTGTCCAGGCAAGGGTATTGTTGTCCTAATCTCTCAGAACTGCTTGTGGAAAGGCTGGGTGTGGTGGCCTACCCCTGTAATCCCAGCTACTTGGCCCCCACAACCCAGGCTGAGGTGGGAGGGTTGCAAGTTTAAGGCCAGCCTGGGCAACTTCACAAAGTACTGTTTCAGAATTTTAAAAACTAAATAAAAAGGGCTAGAGATTTAGCTTAGTGATATAGTGAGTAAGGACCTAGAGTCAGTCCTCAGCACTGCAGTAATAGCATATGGAAGAGTTAGGGAAAAACCAATGACAGAAATTGCACGAGAGCCCTTTCCTTCAGTGAGAGAGTAGTTGGTAGTGGCCCTGCTTGGATTTTGTGTGGAGTGTGCTGGGCAGGAGGGACATCAGCACTACCTTCTCCTCCATCTCTACCCACCCACCCTTTTGCCTGCCCCACTGGGGGCCAGCCAGGATGTCCACAGTGGCTTCTGGTCTCACCTCAATAGAGTTAGACCTGTGTCCTGCATTTCCTGAGCAGCATGCCTCTTCATACATGGAGGCAGTGGAGCTCTGTGCTTGGAGTAAAGATCTTGTCCACCAGAGTGCGCTGTTACCATGGAGCTTTGCCACCAAAACAGGAATCAACAAGGCAAAACCTCCAGTCAGTGTAATATATAACACCTATTAGTCAAAAAAAGTTACAGAGGACCAGAACAGCACCATTAGAGCTTAGTAGATAGAAGTCCAGCCCTGGGTCCTCATGGCAGAATGTACCTTCTTTCAGGAAGAAAGAGTAGAACAAATTCTAGAACTGACTCTTAGAAAGAATAATGTATATTTAGAGATTAGAAAGTTAACCAATAGAAGTAAAAGGAAAGTTAAAACAACTTCACTCCTTAAGTCCTTTTTTTCCTGGCTGTCCATTTTGAGAAATTTCGATCCTACAAAAAAAAAAATTCAGTGAATCACAACCCACTTTTATTTTCCATTAGTCCAGAAATTTCTGTCCTGCTCCCCTTCCTCCCTCCTTCCCTCCGTCCCTCCCCATGCTGGGTGTTTCTTCAGAGTTAGACCCAGGTTAGACATTTTGACCAAGAACACCACCAGCAGGTGGCTGTCTGTTGGAGTGGCCCCACTTCGCTTCCCATCACCAGGCCCCTGCCCAGTTTATGTGGTGACTGTGTGCCCAGATAGGAGAAGGAGGAAAGGAAGGAGAAAAGTTATTCCTGCTGCTATCTACCAAAGAGGGGTCTGGGTCTGCTGCTGGCTACCTGGGTATTTTTCTTTTTCTTCTTTTTTTTTTTTTTTTTTTTTTTAAGTGCATGTGAGCCAGGTGTAGTGGCACACACCTGTAATCCCAGCACTTGGGAGGCTGAGGCAGGAGGATTATTGGGAGTTCAAGACCAGTCTGGGTTCCAAAGTGAGCTCAAGGCCAGCCTGAACTGCAGAGTGAGACCCTGTCTCAAACAAACAAAAAAAGTGCATGTGAATTTTTCTTGCACTATTTTATGTTTGTACTTTATAAGGAGGAGAGGTTTAGTTTGGCTCAGGGCACAAAGATTCAAATGCAGAGCATAGAAAATGTTTCCTTTTTCTCTGACAATTTCTATGTGTTCTAAGTCTGACCTTTATTTGCACCTGCCTTTCTAACTGCCTTTTCCACTACAAAACCATGATTTGTTTGCACATTGGAGGAAGCTGCTGCCTCTTCTGCTAAGCCCTGAACCTCTCACTTTCCCTGCAGGGAGGTTGTGCAGGACTGGCTTTCCCTGTGCTGGGGCTGCTGCACTCCCCACTGATGTTGAGCGACACTGCAATGGATTCCCCACTCCAACTGAGGTCACCAACCGGCAGTCACCATCGCCTTGGAAACCTCTGGTGCTTCTCATTCCCCTGCGCCTGGGGCTCACGGACATCAATGAGGCCTACGTGGAAACACTGAAGGTAGATGACGGGCTATTGTCCTCCCTGGCCTTGGCCACTCGGCATGGTCAGGCAGCTTTTGGGGAGGGTGAACGGCCAGCACACCATGAGGCTGGGTGTGACATACGGAATGTCTTCAGTTGAGGAAGGCAGGAAAGGCCTTGATCTTACCTCAGGTGTGGAGAACTCAGAGCTCAGCCACTTTGTAAAGGGACCTTCTGTGTCTGCTTGCTCCTGGCAGTCGGCCTGCACTTCCCTTGGGCCTCAGTGTCCATTTGGAGAGCAGCAGGGTCTGAGGTGATGGAAGTCCCTGTAGCTCCTGGGATATCTGGCCACTAGCCCCTCAGACATCCTCAGTGTGCACCTTCCCACCCTGCCCTCCCACCAAGACAAAGGTGAAGCTGCCTCCTTCAGTTTCCTGACTTAGTTCAGGGCATGGGTCACATGGGGTCCTCACCATGTGGAAAGAAATGCTTGTCTTAGTTTTTGTCCTCTCCCTCAGCCCTCTGACTGCCCTCTGGGGTCCAGATTACCCTCCTGTCACCCTCATGTCACCCCCTTTGTCACTTCTGCTTTTCCTTGCCTGTCTCAGCACATCTGACTTGCCTCCTATCTCTGCCCCTCCTCCCCATCAAGTCATGCAACTCTTGGTGGTCTGCCAAGCATGCCTTATGCACATACTCCCGTGTCCTACTCCTATTCCTGCCCCTGCCTCCAAGTTTTCCTGAACAGAACCCTGGGTATAATGTGGCTGGCTCTTGTCCACCAGAATCTTTTTGGGTTGTCTTCTCATTCTCCTGGCTCACTGGGCCTGGGGCCCGCTTGTGGCTGTGAGCAGGGCCTTCATGCTGTGCTGGGCTCCCCAGGAGCATAGTGTGATTATCAGCTTGTCATCCTCTCTCTGCAGCACTGTTTCATGATGCCCCAATCCCTGGGTGTCATTGGAGGGAAGCCCAACAGTGCCCACTACTTCATCGGCTATGTTGGTGAGTCAGGTCCACCTGTCTGGGTCACACCATTGCTGGGAGGGTTTCCCTGAGCAGCGCTGCTGCCTCTCCTGCTCCACCTTGCCCACCACAGTGTCTGTGGATGCAGGGCTGCCAGTGTAAAAGCAGCATGTCTCCACAGTGCCTCTGCCTGGTGCTATACGTTGGCTGCCCATGTGGGCTTCCTGCATCCCTTTCCCTATGATCTGGTCCCACCCCAACTCATGCCTGCTGTACTTCACAATGGGGTTGTCTGGTTGGACTGGCCTTGGCATGCGGGGTCTAAATATGATCCTCATCCACTCCCTGGCTGACCTTCACTTTACCCAGGTGAGGAGCTCATCTACCTGGACCCTCATACCACACAACTGGCAGTGGAGTTGACAGATGGCTGTTTCATCCCTGATGAGACCTTCCACTGCCAGCACCCGCCCTGCAGGATGGGCATCGGGGAACTGGACCCGTCCATTGCTGTGGTATGTCCCAGCCACCTGCCCCCCACCAAACCTGTTTTAGGATGAAGAGGGAAACTTTGAGGTTTGTGTACCTTTCCCAGCATTTGTTTAAGTACTGTGTGCTAACTGATTGCACCACTGGAGCTCTTTCCCAGTATTTGGAGTGTTGTTTTCTCATGGTTTTGATCAGGAGGGTGTTACCTAATTTTCATGTGTTTATGAAGCATTTGTGGTTTCTTTTGATACTGATATCCAATTTCATTGCACTATGGTCTGATAGTATGCATGAGCTAATTTCAATTCCTTTGCATTTACTTAAGCATGTTCTGTGAGCTAGTATGTCATCTACTTTGGAGAACATCCCATGTGCAGCTGAGACAAATGTGTATTCTGATATTGTGGGGTGGGACATTCTGTAGACATCTAAGTCCATTTGTTCAAAAGTTTGGTTCAATTCTAATATTTCATTGTTGATTTTTTGATAAAGTTGATCTGTCTATTTGTGACAGTGGGGTGTTGATATATCCCAATATAATTGTATTAGTGTTTATTTGACTTTTCATGTCTATTAATATTTGTTTTATATAATTGGATACACTGGTATTTGTTGCATATATGTTTATGATTGTTATCTCTTCCTCTTGGATTGTTCCCTTTACAAGGATGTAGTGACCCTCTTTATCTCTCTTAGTCAGTCTTGGCTTCAAATCCACTTTGTCTGCAAATAGAATAGTTACCCCTGCTTTTCTCTGGGTTCCTGTCACATGGAATATTGTTTTGTATCCTTTGAATTTCAGTCTTTGAATTTCTTTTTGAATTAAATATGTGTCTTGTATGCAGCATATTGTTAGATCTTGCTTCTTGATCTACTCTGCCAGTCTGTTTCTTTTGATTGGGAATCGAGGCCATTAACATTGATGGTTCTAACTGATATATATTGACTTATCCTTGTCATATTATTTTCCTGTTGTTGGCTCCCTTTTGTCCTGTTTGTTTACCTGGCCTGGTGGATTTCTTCTGTTGGGGTTCATGGAGTTGTAGTCCTTGTTATCTCTTTCCAGAATGTCCTTCAGAACATTTTGGAGTGCTGGTTTGGTGTTCATGGATTTCCTCAGGTGTTCTTTGTCATGGAAGTATCTTACTTCTTCATCAGTTTTGAAAGATAGTTTTGTGGGGTACATCAATTTGGGCTGGAGGTTGTTTTCCTTTAGGGCTTGAAATACTTTAAGCTCTTCTTGACTTGAGAGTTGTGTTGAGAAGTCAGCTGTGGTTCTGATGGGCTTTCCTTTATAGGTGATTTGTTTTTTTTTCCCTAACAGCTTTTAATACTCTGTCTTGTCTTGAATTTCTGGAACCTTCACTATGATATGCCTGGCTGTAGATTTTTTTTTTTAATCATGGCTAATTGGAGCTCTACATGCCTCACTTATTGTATGTCAAATTTATTTTTCCCTGCCGGGGAGTTTTCTGCTGTGATGTCTGAACAGTTTTTTTTTTTTATAATATTTGTGCTATCTCTTGCTTTTTCATTGACTCAAATCAATCCTGTGTTACTCTTCTTTTCATCATCTGGCAGCTACTGTATTGCTTTTCTTTTCTTTTTTGTTTTTCTTCCTGTACCGGGAATTGAACTCACAACCTTGAGCTTGCCAGGCAGGCGCTGTGCCGCTGAGCTAAATCCAAAGCCCTTTTCCTAACTTTTTTTTTTTTTAATTGTATTGATTTTCGTGATCCCTTGCTATTTTTAAGAAATCTTTCTTTTCATGATTGCTAACTGCAAGCCTGTCTTCTATATTTGAAATTCTATCCTCACATTGGTTCCTTCTGCTGTGGGTACATTAAGTGGAATTTTTATTCTCCTGGATATCTGCTTGAATCTGTTTTATGGATTCCATTTCTTTCCTATGTTGGGCATTCATGGCTTCCATCATTTTCTTAAGTGCTTCTATTTTTTTTATCTGTCTGCTATCGAGTCACTAAGCATGGTTTTCATTGTGGACACCATCTCTGTAGTTATCTGAGAAATTACTTCTGATTTGATTTTTTCTTTTTTGTTTTTCTTAGATTTTTTTCTAGAGCCTCATCTGTTTACTTTGTTGTCACCATTTTAGAGTGGCCAGGTGGCTTTCATACTGTCCCGCCTCATTGCCCTCTGGGTTTGCCTTTGGTGAATTATCTGTCTGGGGTTGTGTCTTGTTTAAGTGTGTTCTAATTTTGTTTCTTCTTTTTTTTTTTTTTTTTTGTTTATTAAGTTTAATTCCTAGGGTGATGCTTATAAATTACCTATGGTGAGTTGCTTTATTGCTAGTATTTAGAACCCTTTGGAAATGACTACTACTCAGGTGTCTTCCAGGTGTAGCTGGATTTTGGGTTTTGAGTCTGTTGCAAGATCCTACCTCCTCAGTTTGTTGGGGAGGAGAAGTTGCTGCCTGCTTGGTCTAGCTCCTGGTTCTTTGGCACTGGCCCGTGGTATTTTCTATGACCCTTAGGCAATCTCAGTCTTGGAATACCAGGAAGAACAGCTGATTAGAACATTGTGTCACTTTGGCTAAAGTGCTACAGTCAGCAATAACAATAGCATCAAATATAGCGTGGAAAACGACAAACTGAGGTAACCATTAGTTTGCCATCTTTGACTGTATGACCTGTATTTGTGATTGTATAGCAAAATCTAAAACAGACCAGAAAATTGTACTCAGTGTATAAGTCCTTAGTATGTCAATTGTACCCTTAGGGGAGAAAATTTAAAAAGGGTTAGGTAAAAAATAGAGAGGTAGAAGAGGAGGAAGATATCAGAGGCAAGGCTGAAGGACAAAAGGGAATCACGAAAACTTCAGAAAACTGGTGCAGAAGTTAGGAAGGAAAGAGAGAAGCAATAAATAAAAGGAAGAACAGAACAACAACTACACAAAACTAGAAACCATGTTCACACTCATATAAAAAGATCAAATAATGAAGGAGAAAAAAAACAAAAAACAACAGCAACAAAAACAAGAGAGAGAAAAAAAGAAGGGAAAAAAGGTCCAGTTCATCTCTCCTGTCACTGGTAGACAACATGTGAAGACAGAGTCCAGATCTGTGTTGATTTATCCCAGCAAGCCAGCAGTAGCTTTATGGCAGGGTAGTGGATAATCTCAGCAAGTTGTACCTTTATTTCCCCGGAAGTTCAGGCTAGAGTCTGTCCATGAGACTGAGACCAGACTCGTTCAGCCTGCAGCCTGTCAGCATACCTTCTGCGGGCTTGAACTCAGCTTAGAGCTGCTAGATGGACCTAGCAGTTGTTCTGAGTTCTGAGCTCAGTTGGCCCCTCTCCAAGATGGGTCCCGGCGAATCTCCTTCTCCCAAGGGACGACTGAGCCCTCAGCACTCACCCCCAGCCAGTGCAGTCCTTCACATCCACTGCTCCCTTCTACTGCTGCATCTCTCTGTGGAGGCCTCTGAGGTCACCAGGAGTGACCGTGTGTCCACAGGTTTGAACCGTTCCTCCCACACAGTGAGTCCCAACTCAGGGAGAAGGCTCTGCCAGCTACCTCCTTCTTCACTGATGTTTCTCTTTTTGCTGTCCCCGTGGGCTTCAGTTCTTGCTTCAGATCCTTCCTGGATCCAGGAGACCCACTTCCCTCTTGCGTGTATTCCTGTGTTACTGTATTCATTGTTCTCATGGTTTTGAATTCTAAGGCCATGGCATGAACTGTGCTGGGCCCTGCAGATCCTCCTTAGAGACGGCTACTTTCTGAGTTAGCAGCCAGAGTGCATTGGTGTGCACATCTCAAGTGTGAGTGTGCATGTAAAGCAAGTGTGCATGTGGTGAGTGCATGTGCCAGGTCCACACTAGCATTGCTTCTGTCATTTTTCTGTTGGTGTTACTTAGTACACCTGAGAGATGCTTCCCTAAGAACAAGTTTCCCACTATTCTTTGGATTATATGGTTGAAATTGTTGATATGTAGTTCAAGCAAACCTGCTACTTCTCAAAATTTGATGGTGGAAGAGACAATAAAGAAATTCCACTGGGTGTGGTGACACATACCTATAATCCCAGCCATTTGGGAGACTGAGGCCAGATTGCAAGTCAAAGGCCAGCCTAAGCAAGACCCTGTCTCAAAGTAAAAATGGCTGGGGATTTAGCTCAGTGGTAGAGCACCCCAGGTTCCATCCCGGTACCACAAAAAAAAGAAAAAGAAAACAATACGTGTAAACCATTTGTGGTGGTGCACACATGTAATCCCAGCACTCTGGAGGCTGAGGCAGGAGGATCACTGTGAATTCAAGGCCAGCCTGGGCTACAGAGTGAGTTCAAGGCCAGCATGAATTGCATAGTGAGACCCTGTCTCAAAAAGACCAAAAAAAAAAAAAAAAAAAGTAAAAGCAAAAACTAGAAGCAAAGCCAAGCCTTAGGACGTCATTACTTGTATGGGTATGTGGGTATGAGAATCCTGGTGTGCCACGCTGGGACGTGCATACCAGCTCCAGGATGTCTGGGGAGGTGGCATGCATGAGGACGGCAGCTGGAGCTGCTTCTGAGTTGCCCAGCTCTCTGTAGCTTCCAGTAAGTGGTACTTCTGCACTAAGGTCAAACTAGAAAGCCAGCTAGCTAGTCCTGTGTAGGGGGCTGAGGCGGGAGGGTTGAGAGCCTGTGCAACTTGGTGAGGCTCTGTCTAGCTCAGTCTATAAAATTGGCAGTTAAGGATGTTGCTTGGTAGCGCAGTGCGCCTGGGTTCAGTCCCTCAGCACTGCAGAAAAAAAAAAAACAACCCAAAGCCAAGCACCATGGCAGGAGGTGCAGGCAGGTGGGGACTAGCAGGTGCTAAATGCAGGGGCTGCACAAGGACAGAGGCAGCGTGCTGGCCCCACTATTCTCATTGCTGTAGGGAGGCAGTGCACAGGGCTTCGTTCAGGCGTATTTCATCATCAGGCTTGGTTTCTGTGTCTTCCTCATGGTGACAGCAGAGGGGAGTGCTCGACCTTCTCAGTGCCATCCCTTCTTGGTTCTGTCTTTTGCCTGCCTGTGCCTGTGACTCTGGCTTTGGTGGTGCTCAGGGTCCTCAAGATGTTGCTGCAGTCCAACTAGACTTTCCAGCTGGTCCCTGTACAGACGGGTCCTAGCACTCGCCAGTGCTGCTGCCCATAGGACTCTCGTCACTCCCTCCCAGGCATACTTTCTCAGCACATGGCTGCCGTGGCTCCAGAATGGCCTTGGTTACCTCTGCTGCTTGGTCCTGGGCCGAGGCCAAGATGAGGCCAGGTCTCAGCTGCAGGGGGAAGAGGCACTCTGCTCTTCGCCCCAGCATAATCATAGTTTGCTTCATTCCCAGGAGGCTCATTGAGGCTAACATCTTTTGGGTAAAGCCAGGCAGAGGGAAAGGGGTGCACTGTGCTTCAGACCTGCATTGGATCCCTAAGGGTGGTTGGACTGTGCTGCATCTGGACCTGCAGCTCATGCCACATGGGGTCACATTGCTGTTGCTGTCACTTCATTTTAGGGGTTTTTCTGTAAGACTGAGGACGACTTTAACGACTGGTGCCAGCAAGTCAAAAAGGTCTGTAGCTGCTGCCCTTCTCTCCCATCTGCAGCCTGGCCGACCCTCTTGGGAACAGGGAGTGTGTTTGTGTGTGTGTGTGTATGGGGGTGCCCTGAGGCCTTGCACAGCTGTATTGACTAAATGGGCGGGGTGTTCCTGGGCTTCATCCCAGCACAATTGCCCACCATGGGGCTGGTGCCATGTGGTAATTTCAGGGTGGGATCCTCTACAGGTGCTCACTGCCCTCTTCCCTCCCTGGCACATGGTGTTGTTGCCCTGGGCTTTGTTGTAGCCCTAGGTGTGGAACTGCCTGGCTTGTCCCTGTGATGGGGAAACAGAGTTGACCCCATGCTGAGGCAGCCTCGACTCATGGGTGAGGCTGGGCAGCTGCTCACACCCGTCTCTTCACAGTTGTCCCTGCTTGGGGGTGCCCTGCCCATGTTTGAGCTTGTGGAGCAGCAGCCTTCCCACCTGGCCTGCCCCGATGTCCTGAACCTGTCCCTTGGTGAGTCCTGAATGTGGGTGGCCCCACCTGCATGCCCTTGGGTCATGGGGCCCGGGGCCCCTCACTGCCCACGTGCTCCATTGGCTTCTAAGTGGTCAGGTTCTTGTGAGCCTGGGCATGGCATCATGGGGGTGGTTTGGGTCTGAGAGCAGCGAGTCCCTCCTCTCACCCTGAGCTCAGAACAGCAGAACCTGCACCTTGTCTTCTGCCTGCTCTGGAATGTCTGCCAGGTGCTATGGAGCTGGGTGCCCCATTGGTCCTTGACTCTCCGAGGGCTCAGTCCAGCCCAGGAGCCAAGGGGTCATGGGGAACAGCTCCTTGGGCCCTGGCATGAGGGCAGAGTGCTGACCTTGGGGAACACTGGCCAGAGCTCATCAGGCCTTCCCAGCCCTCAGCAACTAGTCTGTACTTGATAGGAGTGAACTGCTGTTCTCTCCTCCCCAGCCCCCTGGTGCCTCAGAGCTGAACCGTGCTCATGGGTCTGCACCCCCAGAACTGGCTTCCGGCATCTTCAGAGGAGCCCTGAGATGTGTGATGAGACTTTATCTTGTTTCTTCTAGAGTCTTCTGATGTGGAGCGATTGGAAAGATTCTTTGACTCAGAAGATGAAGACTTTGAAATCTTGTCCCTCTGAGGGTCCTGGGGTTGACAGGCGGCTTTCCATGGCCCTCACTGGGGCGCCTTTGAGAACCTAGCCCTGCCTCGGGCACTCAGTGCCACTGTACCGCATTCCATCCACCCAGTCTGCCCCTGCCAAGTGCCGCGCCCATGCTGTCTGCCTGGAGGCCTGTGCTGCCCAGGGACCAAGGCCTTTGCTCCCCTGGACGCCTTATGCTTGGAGCCAGCCCACGCAGCCCAGGGTGTGCCTCTGGCCACCCACAGGAAGAGGTGCTTGGCAGGAAGCTCAGTGTGACAGGCCTGGAGCTTACGGAGTTCTCTGCTTGGCACTGCCAGCCTTGCATACCCACACCGGCTTTGGCCCTGCTCTCCTGGGCACCAGGTCTGTGGTTGGTTTGGAATTAAAGCCCTGTTTGGAGTTACTCAACACCGACATGAGTTTCTGGGCCATTTCCCAGGTCATTCCCAGAAGATCTGCAGTTTGGCATGTGTGGAACAAAAGCCATGTTGTGGCTTCATGCTGGGCAGAGTGAGCTCAGCCACATCCCCTCTGCCCAACATGGTTACCAAGGGCTACTCTTGGGAGAGCAGGTGGAGAGAGCTCACAGAATGGGCACATGGGAAACCAGAGGCGTCGAGTGCCCAGGACCAGGTGTGAGTCCTAGAGCCAGTCCTCAGAGTCCCCACAAGTGCGGCTTCTGTCTCCTTGGGCCGAAGCATTTGGAGATCCACTGTCTGCTGCTGCTCGCTGTCATGCCAGCTCCTGAGTGGCTCTCTACCTGGGACACTGACCAATGGGATGGCGCACCCTCCTGCGCATGTCTTTTCTCAGAAATGCCGGGCAGCTGAGCCCCCAGCACTTGCAGGTGAAGTATCCAGACTCTGCTATGCTCATTTCAGCAACCACCTTCTCACCCTGGTTTCCAGGCCCTCAGAACTTGCTACTGTGGCCTGTGTGTTCTAGAACAGGAGCTGTCCTCCTGCTAGCAGGTGTAGCAAAGGATGGGGGACCTGGGGTGGCCACACAGGCACCTTTCTGCAGCCAGGCAGGACTGGAGGAGCCCAAGGTGGGTCTCAGCTGTAGCTGCGCATGGCAGCACCAGCTGCCCAGAGGCAGCAGAGGACACCCCAGGCCCCAGGTGTTGAAGGTATAATTTATTTCCTTTTTCTTTTCTTTTCCTGCTTCCTCTCCTTACCATGGCTATGGGTGGGGCAGGCAGCGGGAAGGGCTGGGACCATTTCTATTTCTTTGGGTTCTGCTTTCTGCCTTGTTGCTGGTTCCTGAGGTAAGCAGGCAGTGTCCAAGGAGCTGCCCTCCACATCTGGAGAAAGCTTACTGAAGAGGAGGTGGTTCATTCTTAGTATAGTTCACAGTTCTTAATGGCAAATAACAAGTTTCCATAGAAAACAAAGCGTGTGTGTGTGTCTACTGATTTTCCCTCGGGTTGCAGTTGATTGGTCAGTCTTTTTTTTTTTTTTTTTTTTTTTTTTTCTCAGGTATCGGGAACCGAACTCACGACCTTGCGCCTGACAGGCAGGCGCTTTTGCCGCTGAGCTAAATTCCGAGCCCCTCAATCTTTTTTTTTGACAGTGTCACATGTAAAACTTGCAGAGTTGGACAAGCAGAGCCTGTGCTGCCCCTAGCCAGGCTGTGTGAGGAGCTAGGTACAGCACCTGCCCGCCTGTGGTTCTGGGGAACCTGTGATGCTGAATCTGTAAAGGGCACAAAGAGTTAACTTTAGGAAAATGAACAGGAGGGTGTAGGATGTGCCCCATGTGTGGGCTGCGCCTGTGAGTAGCCTGGCTTGGGGCCAGGGCACAGCACGGAGGTGGGAATTGACTGGCTAGCTGCCTCATGCCATTCAAGCAGGACGACCCTGAGTCACCCCAACTGGTCCACCCTGCAGGATAGGTACCAAAGGCCCAAAGAGAAGAACAGGGGCCACTCATTGCCCAGCTGAGGTGGCCTGAGGGTGAGTCACCCAGGCAGGTCTGAACTTGTAATGTTCCTGCCTCAGCCTTCTAAATGCCAGAGTTACAGGCACGCACCACCAGTTTACAGAACACATTTTTGCTTATGGTTGTGCAAGTAGGGGAGGTTAAAATGATGTTATCATAGGGATGGTCCTTCTGCAGACTCCAAGGAGGAAGTAGGTCCCTCCTCACCCTCACAGCCTGCAAATGCACCTCCCAATCCCTGTGGAGACATAAGGCCCCCTTGGAGGATCCTAGACTGCAGATCCTTGGGCGTTTACCCAGTGTCACTCTTGCTGTATGGGGTACTACCTTCCATCCTAGCACTCTACCCAGAGGCTACTGTACAGGATGGATTCCATGAGAATTGTCAGTAAGCCCTATCTTAGGGTCTGTTAAAAGGGGAAAGAATGAAAAAAAAAAAAAAAGCTCTAGGGTCATAAAAACAAGCTCAAGGTTAACATTGGTGCTCGGAACATAGGATGTGTTATGCCAGTATGGTGTGGCATACCCAGTGAGGTCCACCCTGGTGAGACCATAGACCAAGACAAGCCCAGGGCAGGCAGGACCTTCAACGAGGTTTCAGTTCCTGCTCAAGGCTGGCTTAGCCCACAGCTGACATCTGTGGACAGAAAACTATACGAATACGTTTGCAGTTAAGTTTTTATTGGGGTTTGTAACAGATTCAGAAGTTGGGCCCAGTAGCCCATACCTGTAGCTTGAGCTACTTAGGAGGCCAAAGCAGTAAGACTGGAAGTTCAAGGCCAGCCTGAGCAACTGAGTAAGACCCTGTCTCAAGGTAAAGTTAAGAAAAGTGCTAGGACAGTAGCTCAGTGGTAAAGCACTTCCCCAGCATGTTTAAGGCCATCATGGGTTCATGCCAGGACTAAAAAAAAAAAAAGTAATTGACATTTCTGACAAACTGCTCACTTTTCTACCCCTAAAGTTAAATAAGAGCAGCATATATATTACCATCTTCAAGACATAGGAAGACAAGTTCATGGTACTGCCAGAGCCCACAAAGCCAGTGTTCTGCCATGCATGTCTGGGTACAGCCCAGCTTCAGGTCAGAAAGGGGCCCTGCAGGTCTCTGGCGCCAGGACAGTCCTGGAAACCAAAACTGGAATGCCGCTGAGTGTCCAAAGGGCCTGGTGGAGGTGTCTTGATGGTGGCCAGGTTCATTGCCACAGCTCCCCCAGGGGCCTCTGGGCCGCACCAAGGATGGCAGCTTCAGAGAGTGAGCAGATTTCCTCATGGACATCCTCAATGCTCTTGGAAGCGTCGACCACCTGCTTCCACAGAGGACATGTGAGAGGTCATTACCACCTTTCCCTTCGCTCCAGTATTTGTGGCACTTTTGGGGATGCTGGACGTGGCACGAGGCTTCTGAGATCCTGTACTCCACCTCACCCCAGTGGTATGCTAGGTGCACAGCTGTCTACTCTCCTGCCATCCCCAGATACAGGAGAAACACCCGTGCCAATGGCTGCCCTCGCTCTTGCAGCCCAGCACTGTAAGCAAGGTGTGTAGTTGCTGTGCAGCCTACTGTAGCCCATGCTACCAAACACCAGAGCTCTTGAGGGATTGTCCTCTCAGTCTACAGGAGGCCTCCACAATGGCAGCTCTCAGCACTCTGAACATGAGGACCTGGCAAACCTGGGTCTCTTCCCTGTCCTCCACCTCTGCACTGTACCACACAGAAGCAGTGCTGGAAGAGAAACCAGAAGGCAGGTGAGAGGGAAGCCCACAGAGTGCCAGGATTTCTAAGGCTCCTCTCTGTTTTCTTTTTAGTACTCAGGGCCTCTACACTGAGCTACATCTCCAGCCCTTGGCTACTTTGAGATGGTCTGGCTATATGGCCGAGCTGCACAGGTGGGGCTCAAACTTGCTCCTCCTACCTAAGCCTCCCAGAGTACTAAGATTACAGGTGTGTGCCACCATGTCTGGTTAGAAGTCTTTGCTATAGGGCTGGATGGGACCAACAGCTCTGTAAGGATGGCCACAACTCTCGGCAACAAACTACAAAAGCTCCCAGGTTTGCAGAGGCCTCTGCTTCATAAGACATGGCTGCAGCAAGAGTGACCCTCATCTGTGCTACCACCTGGGTGGCACCTGTTCAGCACAGCCCTCACCAGCCTTGTCAAGGTGGCCCTCACACCTGGCTCACTGCCCATGAAGACAAGCGCTTCCAAGGAAAGGGCACTGTCACTGGTTGAAACAGTAAGGTAAGACTCCGAATTTTAAGATAAACTTCAAAATGATGGGGAAATGTAACACATGCAAAGGTGAGACCAGCAAGGTAGTCTAGGCTGTCTGCAGGCACAGGCAGGCTACAGACATTTGGCAGCAGCTCCGGTGCTGGCTGAGCCCCAGCCCCCACTCTGGCAGGAGTTTAAGCCCTGCAGGCTGGGTCATGACATGGATTTGTGGGTGCTACCAAATCCACCAGGATCTCCCTGGCTGCTGTGCAAGTCATGTCCAGGATAGAGGGTGGAGGCATGTCCTGGGAAAGGCTGAAGCTGACTCCTGGGATGGTACAGTGAGGAAGCAGGAGCAAAGGCAAACCTGGCACAGCCGCTGTCCTGGGCACAGGGAGGGGCCCCAAAGAATGGAACAGGAGAGGATCCAGGCTGTACCTGTGTGGGGGGAGCCTCCAGTGCTACAGGAAGGAGTTGGCACACATATCCCATGGGATAGGTTATGGTGAGGTCTGAGGAGGAACCCTCAAACGGGCATAGTGCCCCTTTGGACAGCACAACCTAAGCAGAGACAGGACTCCGTGCTACTCCCGGGATCAGGAAACCAGAAGATGAGGTATACAACAGCTTCCAGCACTCAAGTTCTCAACCATGTGGGTAGCTAAGGCCTTTCACACAAGATGCAAAGGGGCCTGCAGGTAAACACAGTCCACTGGATGAGGCACCATGACTCCACATTTTGCAGAATCCACCTAGAGGACTGCAATTTGTTACACAGGGAATGTGGGCAGAGCTCAGTGGCAGAGCACTTGCCTGTAAGTGTAAGGCCCTGGGTTCCATTTCCAGCACCCCCAAAAAGAGGGGGTGTGGTGACTTGCTGGCATCTGGCCAGCTGCCTGAGGCTCCATGGAGGACAAACCAGACTGTAACAGCTGTGCTGCTGTGCCCTTGCAGCAGGATAGACTCAAGTACCTGAGCCCTCTAAGCTCGTCCCAGTTCCAGGGCCCTCACCTTCCAGTTCAAAGTCGAGTCCCTCATGAGCTGCTGGAAGCTGCACAGGGCCCGTTCCTGGAAGGTCGTCTCCTCATACCGCTCAACGCCAAACTCCCCCCGTGTGGCAGCGTCCGACAGTTGTAACTGAAGGAACAGGATCAGATCAGGCTTGGGCAGGCCCACATCCGGCTGCTTACACCAATGTAGGGAGAAATTCTGCCAACAAAGAACAGAACAGTTAGGGGGAAAAAGCAAGTACAGTCTGATCTTGTCCAAATCATAAAAAAGGAAAAGTAGCTGACATTTGGTGTAGTACCAAGAGTACACCGAAGTGACTTTTTTAAGTGGTAAAACCTCATACATTGCATTCTCTGATTTTCCTCTTTGAGTGCACTGAGGACACAATGGCTCCTGCCCTGGTATGCATACTTCTATGGTGGCCCTTATGACAGGTAGCTCTAGATCTTCTGTCCAGGAAGAAAGCACAATCTCGGCAGATAGAGCCTTGAGGCCCACTAGGCCCAGGAAGCCTGAGGTTGAATGGACAGAGCCAGATCAGGGCCTTTCACCGACCCCAACAAGAGGAGATGGGCAGTCCTGGCAGCCAACTGGATGCTGGACTATGTTAGAGCTCATGGGCAGATTCCTCGTTAGGCATCCTGCCACCCTATAAAGACGGTGTCTGTGTTCCTGGAGGGAAGGCAGGGCCAAGAACCCCAGCCTGTAACACCATGCCCTAAGTTCACAGGTCCATGGCCCTGCCCAAAGGGCCTGCAGAACCAGCTCTCAGTAGTGGTAAGCATGTCAAGACAGGGACAGTCCCACAGCATCCTGACCACCTCTCTTGTGCTCTTTGTACAAACTGACTGCTTTACTGAGGAAGGTCTCTGCCTAACATGTGAAGAAAGACAGAATTAAAATGCTACCACTTTGCCATTATTCATCAACAAGGGCTATTACCACACAAAAGACAAGGGGGTGTGGCTCAATGGTACCATCACAGTTGCCTAGCATGCATGGGCCTCTGATCCCCAGTACCACCAAAAAAGAAAACATGTAAGTAAAATTTTGAAAAACTTAGCTAAGCAGGGTGGTACCTGCCTGTAACTCTAGCTTGTTGGGAAGCTACTTGGGACAGGAAGGAAGTAAGGAAGGATAAATTCTTGAAAATGTTAATGCAAAGAAGGAATGTGGAAACAAATCAAGACATGTAAGAGGTATTTCAATATATGGACTTTAATTGGATTTGAGTTCAGTGTGACTTAAACTACAAATAAGACAATCAAGCTGGGCATGACAGCCCACTCCTGTAATCCCAGCACTGGGGGAAGCTGAGGACAGTCAGTGGGCAGTTCAGACCCTCTCTCAAAATAAGCAGTAAAAAAGTGTTGCAGATAAAGCTCAGTGGGAAGACCCTATGTTCAATCCTCAATATGTCAAAAAGAAAAAAAAAAAGATGAAAAACCAAGGCAATCAGCTTTTGACAGAGAGCTCTGAGAAATCTGAACAATGGTGGAATGACTAATTTTTTAAAATTGTTTTTTAAAAATTATTTTAGCTAGACATGGCAGCACACACCTGTAATCCCAACACTCGAGGTAGGAGGATCACTGTTTGAAGCCAGCCAGGGCTACCTAGTGAGTTTAAGACAACCGGAACTGTGTAATGAGACCCTAGCTCAAAAGAAAAAAGTTATTTTATGGATGGCAGAGACATTTATGAAGGAAATAAGGCTGTCTAGTGTGGGATGGAAGAGAATGACTACAGAGGCCCCAGGACTTGTGATGGTGCTAGGTGGTTTGTCATTTTCTCTGCTGGTTTATACTTTAAGTTTTCAAAATAAAAAGCAGAAAAAGAAGCAGTATAGTCACTACCATTATATTTGTGAAGCCCCAGCTCCAAAGGGCAGGTAGGGAGGTCAGAAAAGGAGGAAGACACCATCCTAGTTCTTCCTGACAGATGGAAGACACTGGATCAAGCATACACCAGTCGACCACTTTCAAAAACTGTGGGAAAGCAATCTTTCAAGTAAAACACACAGTTATGTCTGTGAAAACACTCTTTGATCAATGTGACCACTAGGTATACCTAAAATGTACCAATGTACTTAAAGAACAAGCTAGGCATGGTGGCACAAGATTGTAATCCCAGCACTCGGGAGGCTGAAGCAGGAGAAATGCTGTGAGTTCGAGGCCAGCCAGGGCTACAAAGTGAGTTCAAGGCCAGCCTGAACAGCATAGTGAAACCGTGTCTCAAAAAGACCGGGGAAAAAAAAAAAAAAAAAAAAAAAAAGAAAAGAAACTGTAGCTAAATACGTTTGCTCTTAATAAGAGACAAATTAATCCAGCCCAAGGGTAAAAGGGACACAAGAACCATAAAATCCCAAAGAGTGACTTGCATGTGTGCTGCTCATGGCCATTGCAGCTACCAGACAGGCCCAGCAGCACTCACCTCCTTGGCGCTTGTAAAGGCGACACCAGAAAATGCGTATCTGTCCACAACAAGGGTCACACCCTGGTGCAACTTCTCCTTAATTAATGGCCTGAAAAACAGAATGATATATGCTTGTAATCCCAGCACTCCAGAGGCTGATGCAGGACTGCTGCAAGTTCAAGGCCAGCATGAACTACCTAGTCAGACTCTGTCTCAAAAAAAACAAAAAATCAAAACAAAACAAAATCCCTCACAATAACCATTACAGCTTTCAAAGCTCCAGATCTTCTCTTTAGAAGATGCTATGTGGACCCTACCAGCAAAGCCCAGGGTGGACCAGATAATCCCCTAGAAGTGACCACCCACACTTGTAAAGCCTGAGACAGGAACATGTTCTCAGTTGTCAGAACAGAGGGCAAGGGCTGGGGATATAGCTCAGTGGCGCAAGCATCTGCCTGTCAAGTGCAAGGTCCTGAGTTTGATTCCCAGTACCAAAAATAAAATAAAATAGGGGCTGGGGATTTAGCTCAGCAGCAAAAGCGCCTGCTTGGCAAGCGCAAGGTCGTGAGTTCGGTTCCCGGTACCAGAGAAAAACCAAAACCAAAAAAAAAATAAATAAATAAAAATAAAATAAAATAAAATAGAACGGAGGGCAAGCATTGCCCTAAGGTGGGGATGGGGTGGGGGTGGGATCCTCACAAAGAAAGAGCAAAGGATGGCAGAGGGGTGGACCAGGCTGGCAGCTAACACATCAATGATCGTCCCCTCAAGTCCTGCAAGGAAAAGGATGAACAGGATATAGGGACATTCACAACCAACCACAGGCCCACCCTCATCCCCAAAGTGCCAAGATTTTAGATATGCATATATGAGGGGCATGAGTTAGCAAAGCATTGCTAAAGCCAGAGAAAAACAATCAAATTCACCCCGCTCAGCCAATCTCACCTCTCAAACAACAGCCAACTGATCTTTGACAAAGGAGTAGACACTATGATAGGGCAAAATCAGTCTGCAACAAATGTCGCTGGAGCAATTAGACACTCACATGTAAAAAAATGAATCCAGACCCAGATCTTTCACACCACAAAATTAGATCAAATGGACCACAGACCCTAATGCAAGAGGTCCCCAGCAAGGTCACAAGAAAATGACCAAAGACCCTATTACAAACTCTGGCATGTGAGAAACGATGGGTGCAATCCCCAGCACTAAGGAAGAAAAAAAAACCAACCTATAAGCTTTAGTTAATAACCAAAGAGGGCCCAGGATGTAGCTCAGCAACACAAGTGCCTGACTGGCATGGGCAAGGTCCTGAGTTCAATTCCTGGTACCCCCCCAAAAAAGCATGAGAATAGCTATTAACTGTAACAACATACAGAAGATTGCTGTGGGTTCCAGCCCATCTTGGGTTGCATAGTGAGATCAAGGCCAGCCTGGACTAGAGTAAGACCCCGTCAAGAAAAGAGAGGGGAGAAAGAGAAGGAGGGAGGGAGGAAGATACAGGAAAGACAGGAAAGGGGTGGGTGCAGGAACTCTTTCTGATCAATTTGTAAACTAAAACTAGTTATAAATGGGGGAGGGGATGAGCAGAAAGGAAAAGCAGTAGTCAGGGCTCCCTACGAACTGTGTCACTCCTGCTGCTGGGACAGCTGTGGAGCAAGAAGCCTCTAGGACATTCAGGCCTCACCCTGCCCCACATGATGTTAATGGCACACAGAATCCAGAGCCCATACTAGCAGCAAGGTCCTCGGGGTAGGGGTACAAGGGGTTTGGGCTTTTACACTTGTTCCCAGCGGTTGGCAGAAAAAAGCAGATGCACTGAATGATCCTCCAGTTCACTTTTCTTCTCCAAGTAGGAACTGAGAAGTTTGCCAATTTCCGTTGATCTTTCTATTAAAAAAAAAAAAAAAAAAAAA